CCTTCCAATCTTTCTCGAAGTAGTTAAGCCTAATTTCGCGAATGTGCGGCTGGTTTTGAGTATATTCTTGTAGAGGAAATCAATAGTCATATCTTTAAAAAACCCGAACTCAATTTCCAAATTCTATCGAGAAAAAAAGCCGTATGCATCAACCTAATAAATTTTCCAAACCCGATCTAGCCGAAACGTTGGCCTAATTAAGCTTGTTTACAAACCTCGTAAGAGTTCAGAAAAACAATAAACTCAACAGTACGGTTGTAATAGCGTTCATTGAGAAAAAGCATGGCCTGCAAAAGCTCATACGAAAGCGAGAAACAAATCTATAGCTCTCGCCTGACAAGGGTTGGAACTACCTCTGCCCCATGGCGCTTTCTGATTAGCGAACGGCTGTGCACTTCATCTAAAACTATCTCCAGGCGAGTTTTGAGGGCTTATAACTTGTTTAGAATACTCATTTGGCAGTTTCAAGCTCTTTTCAGTGAACAGTATTCTGAACTCTATATCTTCATAGGTTTCTATTCAAATAACCTTTCATGCTTAATCATTTGGTGGATCAAGTCGTATTCCTTAGCTCTAATTCGGCAATCGACATTTACTATTTAATCTCAAAACACATCACAGTTTTTCAGTGGTATGCACCAACGGAAGCCCTCTCCGCATAGGCGAGGATTGGCAACGATGTGAAGCGTCAACAGAATGTCCATCCTCCCATTTCTGCAGTACTAGTCACCGAGTGTGCTGCCCTACTGCTCGTAAGCGCCCCACTTACTTCACCTCATCAACCGCTTTCACCAACGGTCGCTTCCATTAAGAATCAATTTGCACCCAACCGAAACAATCTGGTGACTGTACGTCAACAATTCGACGGTATTGGTACAATGCTGTCACTAGACAGTGCGAAATGTTTCACTACACAGGCTGCCATGGAAATGACAATAGCTTCCACTCCCTGGTTGCATGCCAACAACAATGCAAGGGAATCAGAGGTAGGAAGATATTTCAAGATTGCACACTTCTCGTATTTGCCCCGGGATCAGTTGAACTCATTGCCATTAAAGAACACAGTTTACTCTGGGTATCCGTCCCGAGACGTGCATCATGTTGATATAACCTACATCCTCCACGAAACCGTGAGACTTCGTCCGCCTCCGGGTGTGTACGACGCCTAAACCCGATTTTGGGGCCCTTATTACGCCCTGTCTAGGCCATTTTTCGGCCAAACATTGCCAACCTTGGGGTCACATAGGTAGGAAAACTACAGCAACACAATTTGTATCTTTTGAAGACTTTAGAAAAAAGGAACACTAACCAAAGTCAATAACTCGGCGCTAGTTCTACCTACTTGTTATAGTACGCTTTGTGGATTATCGCCATAATTTTCTACAGCAACGCAAAACGAAGAGCAGCTTTTTGAACTTTCTTCTCCATAGACCTTGAAGGTACAGTTCACGAAGGTGCCCATTTTGAGTTGAAAAGAGGAAGTGTTGTGGAATAGTGCATCGGTTGGAAGGAAACGAGAGAACCCGCCTACTTCGTGAAAAATAAGGTTTGCCAAAAGTGGATGAAATATAGTTTGTACGAGATCACCATAGTGACAATGGCATAAAAGGGATATTTGGACGAGATATCGGTTGTTACAGTTGCGCAATGAGCTGACTGTATCAAGCCAACTAACTCTTCTAAGTTGAACTTCCAACATGCGATCCCTTGAGATGTTACAGCCTCTACAACACCGTTGAGACTTGTCCGCTGCGGGTATGGCATTCATACAATACAATGTCGGGCCAGCTATTGTGCCCTATCCAGGATGTTTCTCGACCTACCATCAGCACAAGGGTATCAGGAGGGGCCTCGAATTGATCCTATATAGGGAATCTGAAAAACCATTTGTTCGTGAACTGTGCCTTTAAAATCTTCCGAACTGCCTTGAAGTGACGTGCCTGCCAACTCGATGTGACGGGCTCGGTTTGAAGGATGCAATCCTAAGGCAGTAAAAGGCAGTTCAAGGTCGATGAATAGCTCTGAATCACTCTCAGTCTTTTCCCTTTGAAAGAGGTGTTCCTTGTGGAACGTTCTATTCAAATCCAATCTCCCACTCCCACTTGAATGAAGCGTCCCCCTAGATTTTTATCCGAAAGTTACATCCGAATTTTCTACGCCCACTTCAGCTTTGTCAACGTGAGCTTAACGAATCATTCCCCTTCCTCTGTCATTGTTAGTACTTGAACTACGATATACATACTCGAAAGTAGAAAGTGGCAAGCGTGAAAGGATGAGCTACAAGAGATTTGCTGGGTGATGGTCTAGAAGGAGAAGGACATTTTTTTTCTGTGGATCACCAGTAGTCTTTGAAAAATGCTACAAACCTGTTGTCATTCTAGCGGAACCGAAGTGCCCGAATGGCCGGGCATATCGAGACCACTTGGGAAAATTCGTGCGCTGCTCGCCACAAACGAGATGCCCGCCGAACTACGTCTGCTCATATGATGGTCTTACTCATGGATGTTGTCCTACAAAAGGTACGTTCACATTTCTTAACGACATTTGAGGAAAGAGCACAGGAACTTGTAAAAAATGTTTACTCAATTTGAAAGGAATAAAAGGAATAGAAAAAGTGAGGCAAACAGATAACCTACCCCTTTCCAGCGTTCACATGTTCCTTGGCCGCAGACAAAGGAGTGAGATGTGGCTTGGGTCGTTCCTACCGATATTTCTTCAATGCAGCCAAGCAAGCCTGCGAGAGTTTCCAGTACGAAGGATGCGATGGAAATAGCAACAATTTCCTCACCGCCCAACACTGTGAACAATACTGCGGAGTGGGAGGTACAGCTGCTGGCAGCATTTATGTCCATATAATGAGTTAACGGATTTGAGGAAGTAAAACAAGCACGAGAATTATACATAGTTCTGTACGCAATTATCATTTCTGTGTCATATCATATGTCCTGTGATTGGTAGCGGTAGTAACAGTAGTAGTTACCACAGGAAGATGAACGGGGAAATGGACATGCGCGGCTTCCGGAAGCACAGTCTGGCATAAGTGAAAGCTCAGCTTAGTCTCAGCTAAATGAAAACTCTCTGCTCATAACTTGACAGTACCGGTTTTCAGCTACCTCGAACTTCGGAATCTCAAAAATATTTCTACCCTTCGTCCTCGTTTTTTTTCCGTCCCACTACNTCAATTATAAAGTTAGAATTCGGGAAAAAGTGCACACGTAGGCCATAAAGGACTAGCGCATGTTTTGAACGATTTTTGAAAGAATCGTGAAAATGTGTGTACCGCCCGATCCTTGCTTGTCCTCCAGTTACTTCCGTCCGGGTGACGGACTTCACCGTCACCCGGACGGAAGTAAATTCCCACTAGCATAGGTATACACGCGACGTTTACCACTGGAAATTCAAATCTTACCGTTATACAGCGCGCTCCACTACGAGGCCGGTACGGGAGGATGGCATGCAGTTCCAGTACTACACACTCATGCTTTTTACCGAGAAACGTCTTTTTTAGGTAGACGATAAAAACTCGCTGCATAATTGAATATAGTTTCCATCGTCGACAAAGGTTTACTGACTAATATTGATTGATAAGCGTTGACATTGTGAAGTATAGGGAACGGAGATGGTAGAATAGGAGTTCACTCTTCTTATTATCTCCTTGTCCTAGAAGTCCGAAAAAATTTAAGTGTGCTAGAATTCCTTATGATCGCTGTTACGACTTTCTATTACACCTATCCCACACCCATAAGTTCCTCAGCCCCCACTTAAGAAATACTCTACCATTATGTAAAGAGAGAACAGATTCGGCATCGATGGATTGAATGGTATTCGAAGTGTACCTTCGTCAATTCCTGATAGTTGAAATGCCTGCGTGCTAGAAAGAGGGAAGTTAGGAATTCCGGTCAATTAGACATACCTGTACACTCCAGCGAACGCGCTTTGCCTGTTACAGAATCCAACAGAGATGTTACCACTATGTGAAAGGGAATAGTGCTTTTAGTTGAAAGATTAGTGAAACGTTCTCAACATATCCCGAATAGGATGCTTTTGTTTAAGTGTAATTCGAATTGGGACAAATGCAAAATGGTATCAATACTCTTGAAGATGAAGAGCATGTCGATTTCAACAGACTATGAAAAATGAAAATAAGAAAGATTGTCAGCTGCGTTATGTCAGATATTTGAAGGTTGTCCAAATGGAGGATTTCCTCTACAAGAAGAAAAGTCAGTTCGACCGGTGGCTTGCTCTGGATTGAAAGGCTGCCCCTCTACTCATGAGTGTGTCGCTATTCCATCGAAAGGCAATGTTGCTAATCGCTGTTGTCCAACCAAAGGCTAGTGCATTAGATAGTATTGTACCAACGGATTCTGTTTCTTTCTTATTTTCAAATCATAATATATCGTTTGTATTACCCTAATATCATAATACCCGTTTGTATTACTCTGTGATTTTGGAAATATTCAGTTGTTCGACAGAAAATACCCAAATAGATTAGCTAATGTAGGCCCTTTCAGGATTAAGGAGCAGCCCGATTGCTTCATTAGCGCTTGGAGAATAACTTTGAATTGATTATTCCTCAGCTTTCATTCTGCCATGGAAGTTTGCTATGGCAAAAATGACTCGATTGATCTGAATTAAATTCGCTACAATAGTATTTGAGGAAGGCTATTCTGGCCATTCCCCTTTTCACCATTCAAACAGCATGAAAAGCTCAAAATTCAAAAAACTGAAGCACCGTAGTCTCTATAGTGAACATTAATTCTCAGTGAACCATAATGGTTTCGTTTCAGAGCACATCTGCAGTCAACCTCCATTGGCAGGGAGTCAGTGTTCGAGCGTTACCACATCCCGTTACTACTTCAACTTAGTCACCAGGCAATGCACCTCCTTTCACTTCAATGGATGCAGCGGCAATCTGAATAATTTTGCCAGTAAAGAGCTGTGCAACAACTTTTGCTCTAGCGCAGGTTCGACCACGTCCATCGCTGGCGAACATCTGGTGATACTCATGTTTTCAGCCTGCGAACTTGGTGAGACTGTTCTGAAAGATCCTGGAACTTCGCGTCCTTTCCGTTGCAACAGTGATTTGCGGAACAGTTGTCCACCCAAATACCAGTGTCGTTTCAGCAAACTGTTAACGTATGCAGTGTGTTGCGGTTCTCCTGTTACCGGTGAGTAGTTGAATACTGTAACGAAGCAGAATGTGTTCTTTTATTTCGAAAGATAACAAAACGATAGCTAAATGAACTGTATGAAAAGTATTCTTACTGATAGTCTACCTCGCTCTGCCCGCCATGTCCTAATATTATAATAATATAGAGGTGGGTAGATCGTTTCGAGATTTAGTGGTATACTTACTACGTTTTGAGCAATTCTCAGCCATGCCAAGTGAAATGCATTAAGTCCTATGTGGCTAGAGGCCTGAATATAGCAAAGGCTCGATATCGACGTTTTTAACACATGCGAGAAGGCTTATTCTCGCTTATTCTATTATAAAATAGATAATAAACGGAGAGAGTACACCACTGGTACTTGCATCACAACGAGAGGTTTAATTATGATGAGCATTTGTAAGATTTTTTGCAAAAACAAACGTCCTGAACGTCTCGAGGTCACCACCTGGTAAGTTCCACCCTCTGGACCTCCATTAGTCCCATCTTGGCGGTGCTCTTTAGAATTATTGACAACCGTTCAGTTCGAGGGAGACATTAAAAGTGCAAACGACGGCACTTAAGATGTGTACCATCCCCGTCAAGGATGTTAATATAAGTATCCAAGAAAATCAGCTACAGTCCACTAACAGGAGTCTTCGTCAAAGCCCGTCCGTAGGCGGAGTGCTATTAGGTGATTCCGTCATTCTACTATGGTTAAAGCACCCCAACTCTCTGGTCTTTACTGTGAATGGGTAAGGCGGATGTCAAAGACCTATTAAGGTTTGTTTTATATTCGGTCGTATAATGCCAATAAGCCTAGTTCCATCCTTTCAAACCCTAAATAAAGGCATTCGTATGAAGTTTGTAAGCCACATCGACATGGTTGCTATGGTTAGATTCACTGCTAGTGCGACATGTTATCTAATTATTGACCTTTTCAGACCATTGCCCCGAAGGCGAACGTCCATACATGGTTTCAATCGACGAGACGGTTAAGGAATGCTCAGCGAACATTCCTGGAAGTTGTCCCGCTCAATTTCTATGCCGCTTCAATCTTCAAAAAAATAAATACTATTGTTGTGCTCCTGATTCAGAAAGTAAGTTTAGGAAGTTTTCGTGAGAGCATCCAAAAAGCGAAGTTGTCCAACTTTTTTGGTATCGCACGATAGCTCTCCGAGGACCCTCCTTGGTTTGTCACAAGATTTCATAGAAAAGGAAAACGCAGCTCTGTAAATCTACCTTTCAGCTATCACAGAACTCGCCGATTTCCATCATCTATTCTTTTCAAAAGAAACAAGCTTGTTCACCCATATTCCTATTGGGATTCAAAAGATGTAGTTGTATTTTTTACAGATTTCTGCCCCGAGGGAAGGGCTTTGTTTCGCTCGCGACAAACCTCTCTGCCTCATCGATGTGTTCTTAACTTCCTGAATGAATGTTCTGCTGGATTCAGCTGCCAATCCCGAATCAAAGGCGTCACTCAAGGATTCTGCTGTACAGAACGAAGTAGGGGTGACGACTGCTCTCTCAACTGTCTACCCCCATCTGTTCTTTCAGGCGTTTGCAAGGGTGATGCCCAATTCATTGTCGACGATGGCACGAAAATGCCTAGGATTTGTACTCCTGGACTTCTTCATTCATGTCCTATCGGCTATCATTGTCAACTGCCCAAACCGCATTCTACGAATGGATTCTGCTGCAAAGTAGATGTTGACGTTATCACAGGTACATATTTTCGCCAGGAGTAAAAACCAGGTGGTAGTGGTTTCGTTCAGAAGGATGCCCACCAACGGAATATGCGCTCACTGATGGGAAGAAGGTAGTCGAGTGTGACCCATTCAACTCGAGCCGTAGTTGCCCGGCGGAGTTCTCCTGCCAATTCGCCGTTCTTTTTCAGCGTTATCAGTGCTGTGGAAAAATTCCACCTGATGGCTCAGAACTTAGCAGCCGAGGTAAGACAAAATCGGGCCGTACAGTACGAATAAGATGAAGTGCAACGTAGTCTTCAGAAAATGGCTGCCTCTCAAATCAAGTCGCCCTGCTTGATCGCGATCGAGTAGTAGTGTGCACAGCATCAGGGAACACTTGCCCATCAGGGTATTTCTGTCAGTTTTCTACGAAAAACCAACAATTCCAATGTTGTGGCATCAAGTCAGGTATCTATTACTTGCTTCTCGATTATATGAGAAATTTTTAGAAAGTCTCCATCCTATCCGAATTTCAAAATCCAACTTGTTCTTGATTCTCGCTCTGATTATTACAGACTGCCCTGGCAAGTCAATGGCTTTTCTAAACCTGGATGGAGAGGCCAAGCAGTGCACAAAGCTGTCCCCTTCATGCCCTGCAGGATTTTCCTGCCAACAAACAAAACATCATAAGTTCCTGTGCTGCACGATCGAGGAGACATTGGTGCAGTCCGCTCAAAACGTAAGTTAACTGGCTATATCCCATTGACTGAGTGAGGCTTTTGCCCGGGAACCTAGCATTTTCCTGAAATGCGATTGGACAGATTTAATACTCAACCTTTGCTTGTTTACGCGAAAAAAACTGTGTAATCCTCAAAAATTCGCCGCGTGTCCCTCTGCATGCACGACGGCAATTGTACCGTGTGTACAGAGAGTGAGAGATCATTTTAGCTCACCAATTTCCCTGCAACAGAAACACATCTGACTGTCACAAAAACTCCAACGGTGAAGATGAGTCCTCATACCGTTGACTCACCATGCAGTGGAAGTACGGTTCTCATTGATGGGACATGCAAGTATGTTCTTTCCGCGAAAACTGTCAAGCAGTATTACTCGTCTATTTTTTCAGGATGATCGGGAAGCCGATGCCGTGTTTTCTCCGGACGCAATGCCCCACTGGATTGGAATGCATAAATTTTGTTTGTGCGAAGAAAGACGAAAAAACTGAAGTATTGAAAAGGCCAGCCTGTGCTGAGGGAAGCATCATGGTGAAATTTTTAACTGCTCCCCTACGAGTTTCTCGTATAACAAGTATTCATTGCAGATCAACGGTAGATGTATGCGCTTGGTGGAGGTGAATGGACAGTGCTCTGCAAATGAACAATGTCAAGGTGGCAGTAAATGCCACAATAAGACATGCTCGTGTGGATCAGACGCGGTGCTGTACAAAGGAGTATGCCGCGGTAAGAGTGCTGATTTTGACTGAGTGACGATTGAATGACTTTACTACGAAGTTCATTCTCTTGGCACTGGGTGAACAAATTCAAAGCAAAGCATCTCTACCCTTTCTCATTATTCTTACAAAGTAAAGAATGGACTGCGCAACTACTTTTTGGACGCCCTGCAGAATCTGTTGGTGTCTAGTAACCAACCGAGTTATATACTTTCTGTACAGGGTGGCCCAAAAATCTTGTTACACGCAGAGAAACAATTCTCTTTTTCAATACTTAAAGGCACAGTTCACGATAATTCTGAGTAATCCAGATATGGCGAAAAATAGAAGACAAAATGGAAAAAGACGAGGAAACTACACGAATCGGTGTTCTCAAGGGGAGAAAAAGGGCTTCAAAAAATCGTTAAAAAGGGGGCCGCACCAGAATGAAACCATAAAAATGAAGAAGAATGGGGCGTTTGGATGAGCTATAGGTTTGTGCCATAGAGGTGTGTGTGGGTCCTGACGTGAATAGCTGACTACGATAAGCAAAACTTCATTCACTCCTAAGCATAAGTTACCGAAAAAATCCTGGTTACAGCAAAAAGAACCTATCTTTTTGAGCCTGTTGTGATAGAAAATTAAATGAGGGATCGCGTCTGCAAAAAGAATAACAGAGGGTGAAGGAATAGCAGAAAAACATCGTCTCATCACTCAGCGATCAGCTGACTGGGTGTGGGCCCTAGAGCGAATACTGCAATCTGTATCGCCTCGACGCTCGTCTGACGCGACATCGATCAAAGGCGGGAAGTCCGGACGATCCGGTAACGGGCTCCCACTATGCCCCAGCAGTTGAATTTGGGACTCGACAGCGTGCTTCCTGTTACCCTTGGGGGCCACTGGGTATTACTAGGGGGAGAACTCAGCAACCATGTTTATTTATTGTGAACTGTGCCTTCGACCAAAAGCAATCAGATTCGGCACATAGTTTCTTACGACCGGTACGAATTAAAATTGATGGTGATCACTCGATGTGACCTTCTCAAGCCTTCACGACAGCCTTCAGACGCTTAGAGGGCACGATGGTGGACCGCAAGTATCTAACGTCGATTTCATCCCACGCATTCTTCAAAGTCAACACGATCAAGTCGATACTTCTGTGGCGACTGGGACAGGCCTTGTGCTCGAGCGCCGACCACACCGGGCATCCAACGGGTTGAGGTTGGGGAAACGGACGGACCACTCACTGGCAGGGATCGGCGGCTTGGTCTCGCACCAAGCCTGGGTCTTCCGCGACTTGTGCGCGGGAACGGAGTTTTGCTGAAATACCCAGACTGGTTTTTGAAGTGCGCCTGGCGTAGTCTTCACACCGGGACCGACGAACCCGAGCGGAGTTTTTTCACTGGCGCACGCTCCGACCCATACCATTACGCTGGCAGGGCTTGTGAGAGGTCCGAGAGACAGCTCTCCTGGAATCGGCCTACTGAGGGGATGAGGCGAGCACCCGCGTATTTTGGGTATTCGCCGCTACTTCACGGTAAAGAGCTTCTCGTCCGAGAAGACGGTCACTAGAGGCTCCCTAGCAGCGATCCGAGCGAGCATGGCCCGGCATCTTGCGAGCCAGGCGGCCTTATTCTTGCGATGGATCGTTGGCCATCTTTCGCATACTGCAACGAGGATTGCTGTGGATGCGCTTCTTGATGGCTGTTCTATTTGCAGAAGTCGATCAGGACAATCGGCTATCGTTCCAGTCTCACAGTAACACCTCTTGAGAGCCCTATAGACAGTTTGGAAGCTGATGGAGAGCTACTTCTCGGTGAGGGATGGGATGCCGCAGCGTCGTGCAAGTGCACAATGGCGTCACGCAAAGAATTAGCGAGTACCGTTTTGAACTAAATTCAGTGGTAATGATGGAATCGTATTCCAACAACAACACATCAGATGTTCAGCATGTCGAGTTCTACTCGGTCAAATTTTTATATCAATGACTGTGGGCCAATTTTAGGCCCTGCACCTCCTGATTTCAATCTAGCAATCTGTTCCAGCGAATCTTTGCGGACATCAACTGGTTCCCGCTCTGAGTCCCCTACGAGCTGCTATTGAATGTATTCGAGGAGCAGTTTGTCCTCAAGGCTCCTTTTGTACCTATTCCAATGCCTTGTCAACTTATCTATGCTGCACCACAATTACGTCGAACGCCATTCACAATCAGGCAATAACTCGCACAACGACCAGGTAAGCTCCCTCGTAAGTTACTCACAATCAACATGTCTGCAGGCCCACCCTGTTTCTGTCAATCTCTTATTTTCCAGAATACCTTCAACAAGTGCCAATCCGAAAAGAGTAATTCCACTGTCATCATGTCCCGACGGACAAAAGCCGTTGTTGTTTCCTTCGACGAACCTCCCGCTTGCATGCGATAGAACTCGCCGCTGTCCCCAGGGGTTCGTCTGTACAGATCGCAAGTGTTGTCCATTGGAGAGACAGCGACGTTCGCCAGAGATGTTATGCCCCAGAGGATACCGACCGCTGGTTGATGAAGCATCGCAAACTCTACGGTGTGGTGAGTTGATCCCGACTTATTTCAACAAACAGGCTCAACACGAATGTAGTGGAAGACGGTATTATCCACTGTTGTGTATGGATCCCATTCAACTTCCACGACTGAATCTTTTCGAAAATTTCCTAATCATATGGATCTTAGGCTTGCGAGGCTACACGTGTTGTGGACGAGTCGAAACTGCCTAAATACTTTAGCATAAAAGTCTGAACTTCCAATCTTCAGACAACACGTACAGGCGCTGAGGTGTTCAAACCTCCTAGAGGTTGCAGCTGATCGTCCGGGTCTTTGACCTTGACTATCGCGGAAACTACTTTTCAGCTGCACCTCTCGCACAACTCCGATATCATCTACATCGCCTTAAATTTCGTGAATTCTGCGAATTTTCGTTTCGCTTTCTTCGTCATGGATCAATATTCTGCACCACCACTTCCACCCTTTTATTCAAATAAGATTCATCAAAGTGAACTGATCCTATAAACGAGTTTTTTGCCATCAGCGCCATCAGCGGGATGCGGAAGACTCATTAGTTTATCTCGCTCACCCAATGCATAGTTCAAGTCGACAGAATTTTTCTCATAGTTGTATGAGAGGTTGGAGATGTCTCAAAGGACAATCCATCTATCCCTCACCTTTTTGCCTTCCTGACAACTGCTGTATTTTTCGCTTTAGAGCAGGTCTGTGTTCTCGTGACACCGTAGTAAGCATATGGATTGTGGACAGGTGAAATGTCGGAAGTGGTGTAGCTTGGGTTCACCAGATCCCTTCCGCTCTTCCACACACCCTCGCTTGGGGTAGTAGAAATTACCATCACAATCAGCAAATCCCCTGTAATCGTTGTGAAATGGGTTCTCGAAATGTCATCTCTCTTAGTTGTTGGCAAAATATTCTTGCATTTACAGCAGTACACTCTGGTAAGATCTCATAGTACAACAGCCGGGTTAGCAAAGGAAGAATGTGCTCATGTCTTTCTTGGCGTGAGCGCTCGAATTGTAGCGGTCTTTGATCTTACGTTCATTGTTTGGCATTGCGATTTCTTGAGTAGATCTTCATATGACATCTACTAGTGATCCTGAGCAAAAATGAACTCGGTTGATGTCGTTATTTGCTTACAGTCGAGGAGCTTTTGAATACCTCGTGCTCATTCAAGAAGCGAGCGACTTTTGCAAAGACTCCCTGCTTCGAAGTGACTTTTGCGTTGAATGTTGTGGATGATGGATTGGGTGTAGAGAATGTGTTTACGATCTCCTGACACTTTGAGAATCGATCCGACGAAAGGCCAGGACAGTGTCGGTATTCGAAGACAGTGGACGCTTATTCGACTAACTCGTCAAAGCAAAGCTCTTCTCACAATTAGAGGAAGCGATCGTGCCATTTATATAGATGACAAGAAAGAGTGATTTGTTCCACATCAGTCACCATATCTTATTCCAAGCTTGAGTGCAGAAGCGAACAGTTTCGTAAAAGTGAATTAGTTGGCTCCGATAGCCTTGCCGATCGCACATCATTCAGTCGATGATTACTTACCTCCAACGACGACGTTAAATATCGATCGCTCGTCGTATCAATCTATCAGCAAGCCCTTTGTCTGCTATAGAATCCATAGCTTTGCTTCGATGCATTTGAGAGCAACACGTTTCCATGGTTTAGAGTCATGATTTTCTCCACTTTTTGGACCACCCGGTAGGTCATTAAATCACGTAGTTCTACTAGTTTCGAAACAAATCCAAGAAATTGTCTAAGAATCTGAACGTTGAATCATACAAAGCTCTTCAAGCCCTATGTTGCGTGTTATATTGAAAAGTTGCTTTGAATCAGATCACTATGAAATTGTCAGCTACTGTTTCAGCAGTAACCTCAATCTCCTTACCAAAACCACACATAAAGTGACCCTCATAACGAAAAAAACACAAATTACGATTTAGATGAAGTTAGGATCCTGAGGAAGTGGGCTTGAGGACTAGTATCACTCAGTATAGCCTCAGATCGACGATAGAATGTATGAAATCGTTCGATGAGTTCCGCTAGCCATGAAGTTAAGATCCTCGGACTCCCAACATTTGTAGTTGTCTTTTGTTAAGTTATTTCACTCAAAATGCATATACATTGGAATGGAGGGTGGAGAGAGAATGAAAATTCGGCACTGTTCTCTTCGGGATTTAGTAAAGTTATGTACTTCATTGCACAATGTCTCTGTTCTGTCTACAGAATAAAATTAAAAAAAAATTGAAAAGGAACATGAGCAATCGAAAGCAACGCAGAGTTTTTCAAGCAACCTGATGGAATTCATCACGAGCTGAAACAGCAATTGCAAGGCAAGGTGTTCTCCAATTGTGATGCTGCCGATTATATGCCGAAATGTTCAGCAAAGGAAGATAGGAAACAGGAAAATGCGGGTAACGGAACTTCTCCCCTATCGCGGCATTCTCCCTTGCGGCATGCGGCAAATGTCACTGCAATTACCGTACTCACCCCGCCTCCCGAAAATCGATAGGACGCGATATTTTTCCTTGACTGGNTTGCTTTTTCATTGGATTTTGTCGTTTTTTCTTCTGTTTCTTTTTAGTTTTCATGTTTATTAGACTTGATTAATTAAAATGACTCCTCTTATATAAACGACGATCAATACCGCATTAAAATTGAAGGGAGCGACCAGCCAATTCAAATGATTAAAGGACTCCCTACCTCACAAATTGCGCGCTCCAATCTTTCATCGCAATCCTGCGATAGGCGGCGGGTGCAGCGTGTGCGACGCCGTGTTAGGGGAGAAGTTCCCGGACCCGGAAAATGCTGAGGTGTGTTCGCTCTGTTCACGAAGAGCAGGTAGATGCTCTGCATTCGACGCCAACCGCCGCCTTGGAAACGGATATTGGCTGTGCGTGAAACGCTGCTAAGTTTGCACGCTTATTCAAAAAGTGAAAAGCGTTGGGTTTGAACGGATGCAGGTGAGCAGACGTCAAGAATGACTCATGCAGAGCCACATGCTCTCAGCGAACCCTCTTCCGTGTTTACTGTGATGTATTGCTAGTCTCTCACCAATAATATCGACAATTGGATGGCAGCACAGAATTATGAGAAGACCATTATTGCTCATGACCGTTCCAAATCCCACGTAGCTTGAATTCACGACAGTGAAGTGAAGACAACGAATCGAGATTCAACCGCCGTATTCGCTTGAACTAGTAGCATGCTAACACGGAAAGTGTTTGTCAGAGGCAATCGCTTTGATAATTGGTTGGCTACCAAAGCAGACCTAAACAGCTATATATCCGCACTTTGCAGAAAAAAGAGCTCATTGGCGCCCAGTTGCTATTTGGACGCCGCGAAGGGTAGCAAATAACAAGAGGTCTTCTTGACTTACCACTAGGACATCAGTTCCTTATTCCCCTTACTGTGCATTTAACTCAAAAAAATACAAATTGGGTGGCCTAATAATACCTGTAAAGCTATCACAACGGCTTGAAAGACATGCCATGGTTCCAACACCGTATTCACACCCTTGACAGGAATAATGAGAAAATTTCTGTTCTCATTCAGTGGAAGGTTTTCTTGACATGTGAATGTACTCATCTCTTTGAAAGGAATGACGAGCGTTGTGGTAGCTGCACAGGTGGTGTCTGGAAGGCCTTCATCAGGACACTTTCATCCTGTTGACAGAGTCCCTCTTACTGTTAATGAATCGAATACAGGCCTGGGTTTCAGCTATAGTAACAGACTGGATTTTTCGGAACGCATAGAAATCCGAATGGGCTCACACTCGCGCTTTTCATGTTTTCAAAGAGCTATCTGTCGGGAATAAAGAAGCATCGCCTAATACTTAAAAATCATTGTTCGTCCTCTGACAAAATCTAGCTCTTGGTTTTCGAACTCTTACAAGGAAAGTCTGCACATTCACCGGGGAAGGTTCAAAACAACTTCACTCGTAAACTAATTATTCGACTCGGTGGTTTCCACAATGACAAAATACCAAAAGCTGCAATGATGAATAGGTATCAGGGGCTACCAACTCACCAATATAGGCATGAAATTTCTAGTCTTTGTTCAGTTCACAAGATGGTACAGGGTTCATCTGGTTCCAGTTTCCGCAACGTTTTCAAAATAAGGCCCTCGAGAACGGGAGGAGAAACCAGTAAGATCTCAGTCAACCCAAGACTGCTTTGAAAAAGACGACAGTTTTTCGTTCAGAGCTGGTAATTATAATTTGGAGCTTCCGAAGAAGATATCATTAAACATATCTTTGGCTCAATTTAGACATCGGGTTGCTAAAGTGCTGTTAAGATACGATACAGAATACTAGCGTTTTCTGTGACTGGCTGCAAAACTAAAGAGTTTCTTCATCTATTGTATTACTGCCAGATTTCGGGTAACTTTAATGGTTTTACTATATGGAAATTATGTTTAAGTTTTCGGTGTTTTATTGATATATTTTTCATTTGTGCCGTTTGCACACGTAATAAACTTACACTGAAACCTAACGATCCGTCTTGACAATGGGGATAAAGCTTATGATATAGTTGAGACTGGTTCATGTGATAGTGAATGGTGCCGGCCACTCTTGAAACAAATTTGACACAGAAAACGTTGATCAACTAGATGTGGAATTGATTTTGATTTCAGAAGTTATTTGCCATCCACAATCTCAATGTTCGAGAAGAGCCAGATTGTCAACACTGAGATGAATGATTATATAATGAATTTTATTCGTAACGGAAAGTCAATTTGACGCATGTAAATTACTCCGGTCGCAACCTGGTTTGCAAACGATATCTATAAATTAACGTTGTTACCTAACATTGTTATTCGAACAGATAAACATTTTCTACAAAATATCAAATGTATGTTTCACGTTCATGCTAATAATTGGTTTTTGTATACACAACTTCATAACTGATGACACAAGAAATTTTCCGAGTTGAATGCGCGAGTTTTCGCTCTCGGGGTAGTGCACTGAACTCTAGCAATATTCGAGTTTCTGTGCTGAGGGGTTTGCAATTACAACTACATACATCCCCATCCCGTCCACTTTGTCTTACTCTGGTCCCTGCTTCATAAACGATAGGTTTCCTAGAGTATAGGTCTCAGTCCAGCGGGGCTCGCAGCAAAGTGAACCAAATGAAGTGAGAGATCAGTGAGAGATGAGTGAGCTTCTGAAAAAGCACGCTCAATTAGGATTTATTGGCGCCTGACTGCTGCCTGAAATTTCCTCTTGCCAATTAACTGTCATGGTCGAAATCTTAACGAACAGCCAATTGGGGTATGCACTGTAAAATTTCCTCTTGCCGAATAACTGTCATCGTCAAAATCTTCACTAACAGCCAATTCGGGTATGCACTGTGAAGAGCAAAATAGAAAACGATTTCCCAAACGCAGTTGCATTGGTAGAACAATCGACCTACTCCTGTCTCGAAGAATTGAATGGGTCGTGGGTATCAGAAATCACCGTGAAACCGATACCCTATTTACAAAGACAATCTAACTGTAACTCCTATAAGGCGCAACCACAAGTTTGTAAGTTGGTTCCCTAAACTGTTCAACTTCTGATAAGGGTAATTCAAGAGTGAATTCCCCGAAAACTTCGCTATGAGAAACTTGTCGGAATTTCAACTTATTCTCGAATAGATGCAGGCTGGCTGCATTGTCGTCTGTGATTTTAACGAAGAATCGCTCTACGTGGAGTACCTTCACAACATAAGCAATCATAAGAGAAATTGCTTCGGTAGCAGCACCGCTTCCTCGTTCCATCTGTTCGGCCACCATCACTTCTAACTCACCAGCTTCGCTTTCAACGTTCAGAAACAGGTTGACATCGCCAATCATGCTATCGACCTGGAAGCACATTTGATGAAGATTGAAAATATCTTTCAGATAAAACCGTGAGTCGATGTTATCGGGATCGATATTAGCCAACCATGAAAGATCAAACATCAAAAGAAAAAAATAGGTATGAACGTCGTAGAGGCACTGTTTACGATAGAAATGTTTTCTAATAAATCTCTGAGTCAGTGATGTCGTTAAGATATGCCACTTGGGTCATGCATACATCATATGCGGCGTTGTCAGATCGTTAAACGGCCTAGGTAGGGCGTTATAAGAGCTTAGAGACTGTAACGGTTGAAAGCGCTCTCAGAGCGGACGAGTTTCAAGGGTGTGAAGAGGCTGCATCATCTCAAGGAACTCCCATGCTGGAAACCAAACAACCAGACAAGACCCATAACGACGGCGATAGGCAGTTTCGGTCATTTTTTGGGTTGATATGGTCAGCCTCGTCCAAATACCCCTTATATGCCACTCCCGTCATGGTGATCTCATACAACCTCTATTTCCACTACTTGTAGAAAACCTTATTTTTCGCGAAGAAATCGGTTTTTCTCGCTTTTTCCTCCACCGGTGCACTATTCCTCACTAATACTTTCGCTCTTTTACTCGGAAAGGGTACCTCAAAATTATCGTAAACTGTCGTAAACTGAGCTAGTGATCAGGAGCACGTAAAGTTATTTGGCTTCACAGAAATCTCAGAGTCTCAAAATAGCGTAATCAGACTGAATCCTCTACGTTAATAGCTGGTTTCGTAATTGGGACAGCATCCGTATCTTCAAAATTCTCTGAATTGTCGGAAACCTATTCAAATAAGGTGTCGCTCTCTGCTAATCCATGATTACTCGCACCCCTCACGACTTACATTGCAGAAGGTGTATGTACAAAGTGCTGTCATAGCTATCGAGTGCTGCGCTACAAGTGCATACCCCTTCTGCTTATTCAGCGAAATGAAGCCCGATATTACTCATTTCAATACAATTACGATCAGATTACCACATATTGGTGAAAATGCCCAGTCGTAAATGAAACAATGTTTTCAAATCCCGAATTGTGAAGGTGGTTTCTATAATTTGATCGAGGTGGTCACCTTATTGAGTAGCATTAGCCTTATCCATGAGAAATGCTGATGTGACCGCCAATTCTAGTGATTCAGAAATTCACTTCACAAGCTCACCTCTGAACACCCGCGGTCCAATCTCGCTCTAGATAAAATGATGAAAGTCAGCTTATCGTCATCAACCCGCCAGTTTTGCTGCATTTCAAATTCCTCACCAAGGGACAATCTCTCAGATCCAGTGAGCCTGAAAATGAATTGAAAATATCACAAAAACAAAATATGTATCGTTTTCTTCGCATCACTGCATGCGCTGTTTTCAAATCTTGAACTGGAAAGGAGCGTTTAAATGACCGTCTTGAAAATCTCGTTTATAACCTGGTTCAACTGCCTCCAAATGCGCGCCCATCCTAACACCCCCATTTCTGCAAAAAAAATTTGCCCTTGGTGATCGCAGCCTACCGGCCACCCCTCGCTACGTAGAGCGTCATGGGCCTCCGCTGAGTAAACCTCCTCCCGTCCTCTTTGAGCACATTCTGCTACTTTGGAGCTTGCCCTAGAGTTCTTCTCAACTCTACACTACAACAGCGAAATCAGTACAGGGTCTTCAATGGCTCATCCATGAGTGACTTCGTGAAGACATCCACTTAAGCAAAGAGAGGAACGACTCGAAACTGATCCTTGCTGTACATTATGGTGATGTATACTGCTTTTGTTAGGCCGTGAGGGGTGAATGTGACCGTTTTGGAGATAGCATACATATTCCTGACCGCGAAGATGAGGTGTGTCGCAACTTTTCGTTTTAGGAGCGCCCTCCAGAGGATAGATTGTGTGAAAACGTTAAAAGCCCTCATCCATGTCGCGCTTATTCGGGCCCTTAGCCCCTGGTCCGTCAGCGGCTCGATCGCAAGCCTTGTCATACAATATATAACGCGCTTGCGTCTATCTGTGTCTGTTTGTACGAAAATTTGATAGTATTGTACTTGAAGGACACCTGCAGAAGTCGGGCCAAATTTGGGATGTATTAGGGCAACATCATAGATTTGCCTATGGCACCGCCCGCTCCTGTGCTCCTGCAGAGCTCCGCCCTGACGCCGTAGTACAAATGAAGGACCCACATCGGCGAAGGACGTATCGTTCGTGGGCTCCATTTTCCACATGAATTCATAACTCGTTTTAACGAATGCGTGGATGCCAAAAAAAAANAAAAAAAAATAAAAGTAGTGAGTAAGGTCCTACGCATGCTCGGCCGGTGTAGACTTAGCGAAGCTCCGCGTACGAAGGGAGGGACGTGCGATCAAACAGAAGACACTCTCAAAGAATTATGTACCTCTGTGCAAAAACGATCTAGACTGAGAACAAATGTGCTTAGATATAACAGAATTAACGTGGTCAAATCCCCGATATGGGCGAGGTTTGTACTGAGGCGAACGGGGCTAAGAACAACGTTTATAAGTATGGACAATTCCCGTTGGTCTAATTCCATTAATGGAAGTAATTTTCTGGCTGGCTCTTTTCACGAAAGTGCTGCAGACTGCTAGATCGTAAGACGCAGAGAGGCCAAAAACCTTCTCCCATTCTTATTTCCCGATCCAGAGTACTATAATGCGTGAATTCGTCTCAGGTCCCTTCGTTCACGGCCAACTTAAACATTCAGATCACCTGTTAAAGTGAGATAGTCCCCTTTGGAATTTTCCCTGATGGTATCTGGGGGCTCACAGGGAAGTCGTCCTTTTCGTACTAGTAGCAGGCAACTTGTGGTGCGCACGTGAAGATCATCTCCCATTACCACTCTTTCGTATCTGTCCTCACAAGCATGACTCCACCGCTGATACTGTTGAAAGTATAAACAGAATTCAGAGAATCCGTCTGAGCTAAAGCTACGCCGTTTCGTTTGGTGTTCTCTCCGTAACAGCGAAGCTTGGCATCTTCCCCAAATTCTCTGATCTTTGCTGAATTTCAGTGCTCCATTTTTTGATGTATCCCTTGCGTACACAGAAAACGGGCTGGAATGGGGCGCACCAGTTCCAGATGGCACGGGACACTCCATCAGCCGACCTATCACGCGGAGCCTGATGCTGGTATAGTCTCTCGCCATTGTTGCGACTTTGCAGGTCAGGTTTTCGCCTCGGTGGAGGGGGGGGGGTTGAACTCAAGGTAATAGAAAGTGTAGACATGGGCCTGCTGTCTTAACCTCTCGGCTACCACAGCTCTTGTCTGCTGATGTCAAAACATCGATTCATTACCCTTAGCGATACGTGTCAGTATATGATCTAGAAGGCTTCGGAATTCCCCTTCCCACCCCTCAGGATTCAATCCAGGTCCAAATCAACACTATTTTTACAGTGGGCCACTACACCTACCATCCACCATTAGCAGCTGATTCTGCTGTTCTTCATCGCTTCCGAGTATGAATCTTTATTGGTGTGCCCCTTTGTCACCCGCAATCATTTAAAATTAGAACGATCTGACGCCGAGGGAGCGCTTTTCGCTCGCGCCCCGTCCCCTGTGGGCGAGGTGCACTTCTGACACCACACGGCATTCCCATCTTGCCGTCTGTATTCTATCCAAATTTGAACGCTCTAGCTGTAAGAGAGCAATTTTCGCGTACGCTCCCCCCACCGTAAGCATAGTGGCTGCTTTCACAGTCCGCCGGCCGGCCCCGCAAGCGCGCGCTCGTGCCGGCCGGAGGCGNAGCGCCGCCTCCGGCCAGCACGCGCAGGCGCGCTCGCGGGGTGGGCCGGCGGACTCTGAAAGCAGCCAGTCCAGTCCGCCACCTACAATCAAAGTTCCCACCATATTTCCTGTACTCTTACTAAATTCGAACGCTCTAGGCCGAAATTGACAGTTTTCTCGCACGACCTGCCTCCTGTGGGTGAAGTTCGGTCCCGCAACCTATAGTGTTCCATCCTACCACCGGTACTTCCCTTAAATCTGAACTCTCTGAGTCCCACACACGCCAACACATTCAGACGCGTCATATATATGGAATTTTTGAGCAACAAACTAATTTGCATATTTAATGCCACATAATCCGCCGCAAGAAAAAGAGGAGCAAATTTTGCAAGAAAAATGCCAAACATGTGGAACTTCAAAAAAAGCAGAAATGACATTTTAACAGGGAAGTTTATGGAGAGAGTCATAAGTCGACAATTTGTGAGAGGTACAATGATTGTTTAGAGCTTATCAAGCTTTCGAAAATTGTCAGTGAAGCAGAAGAAATACCGACTAGAGCGAGTAAAGGCAGCAGTTGTCAGGACCGTTTTCACACTGCTTTAATCTAATATGACCCTTAATATCGACGCAAAACTGTGATCTCCTATTCGAGCCAAAATCAGTGGTGTTCTTCCGATAATAGTAAGTAAATGTTGAAGCAAACACAAATATAAATTCATGTAAAAGCAACATTACCTCCGCAATTCCTCATCTTCCATCCATTTATGGTATTTAGGGACGTGTTCCTTCTCATAGGGAACAAGAACGATTTTGCTTCCAAGGATTTTAGTGTTCTCATTCAATCTCATCCTGTAAAACATGGGACTACGACACATAGTACAGTATAGTGATTGGCTTTGTGAATTGCAACGGAACAGTTATCTTTGCAGTTGTTATCATACTTCTCTACGTTTCTACTATACAATTCTCGCAACGAAACACGACCACCTTTTAAGACCTTGAGCCACCTGACTGTTGTACAAAGAGCTTGCAAAAATATAGAAACAGGGTTTCGAAAGACAACGAGGTCAGAAGAAACCAGTTTCGCTTGTGTGACAACATGATTTTGTGGGACTGTCACGTGGAAAAGTGTGCATTCTCACAGGCTACATATTTGAAAACGGCTCGATGAATCCGTGCCATTCCAATAGTGCAAGTCTTGGTTACGTGGATTGCTTTGAGTTCTGTGTTTATTTTTGTGATTTCAGTAGGAAACCATGTTCAAGACCACACTACAACGTGGGTCACTAACACCATTGGTAAGTTCTATACTAGTACTTATGTTAAATATCTTCAAGACTCTTCAGTGACCCTTATAAATCGATTAATGAACCTTGGGTCTAGCAGAAATCGGGTTTCTGAATAGAAGTCGAATGCGGGAAGGCATTCCGAATATGGGATTGATTAGCGCCCAAACACCTTATTCTTGGCGCTTTATTTCAAAGTAGTTTGCAAGTGCCGAAGCATCCAAAGTCGCTACAGATTTCGGGTAAGTATTATTAACTTCATTGCGGCAGATGCAACGATAGAATCGTACCCATTCGAACGCTTACGATTGTTTCGAAGGTAAATCGGAAAAGATTCTAAACAAAGATTTTAAAGTCCTGCGATGCAACCACAGCGAGTTGCTAGAGTTTAGCCTGCACTTCTTCCTTTGTGTGCTGCGAAGGGTATTGTGGAAAGAATAGGTTCTCTGAGTGTTGCATTCAATCTTTTTTTCAAAGATTTGTGTTTAGATGAGCAGTATACGAGGCACTGCGAAGGGTGTCAAGATCTTGAACCCATCTGCTGACTTGCTACCATATAAAGGCGAACCAGTAACAAACAAACCTGTGAAGGTATACGCATTTGGGTACAATGTTAAACTCGTACTTCATTATATTTGCCTACCGTGCGGAAGCATTCACGGAGATTTTTGAAATGATGCAGTTCCCGATAGATTTTCTTTTCAATTTCGAGTTTCAATAACACTATCAGTGATTTTCTCAAATTCAGAATCTGGGAGGATAAAATGGGTGGCGAAAGAAACCACATGTGAGTAGTGAAGTGCATAAAGGAAAGAGGTTAATTCACTTTCGCCCATATTTTCAACGGTTCAGTCCATTCTGCCTTAGCAAGGACTCCAGAGACCTAGTCTTTAGGCGTGGTGCGTTATCGCGCGGATGACGTTGTTCAATGTTCTCTACGAAAGGCATTGGTTGCAGTCCTTAGATAAATCCGAGCTAGAAAGCTGAGACAAATCCGCGCTTCCAAACTCTGACAACGGCGAAAGGTCGTAAGGAAGGACACATCGATGCTAATGAATACATACAGTAGCGCTCAAAAGTCTTCGGTGAAATGGTTCTTCAGCCGTGCTTTTCAGTCGTAATTCCTTTCCTACTAGATCTAATCATGCGAAATTTCTATATTTAGAGCGTGGGTGTATTGTGAATATTTACCACAATTAACACCCAATCTGCAAAATCAACTGAAAATACAGATGATGGTACTTCTAGAACTTCTTTTCTTTTTGTCATGTCTAAAGTGTACGAGCGCTAACGCCGAACACAATAGATGAGAAAAACGCACATAAGGTGCCAGTAAGTGCAGACGTCAACAACTTTAGTTTTAGCAAAATCCGCTACCGCAACGAACACCCTGCTCTATCTGTGGATATTGCTGCTTTGCAGTCAAATAGTGTTGGGCAGGGTGAAATATGCTCCAGTTAAACATATCCAAATTTCGCGCGATTAGGTCCACTAAGAAAAAAATTATGACACCAAAGACTTTGAGCGCTACTGTATATGACAATCTGGCTGACCGCTGTCGGTTACCGACCCACTGGGATGTGGAACGAAGATTAGCGTGGGGCGGCGGCCAGCCTTTCAACGAAAAAGAGAATGAAACCAATGAGTCGTGTTGCGTTTCGTAACAGCTACAAAATGAAGGCGTTAATGGTGTTTTTCATTGACAATCGATGGTCTCTCGAGTGAAATGCGAGCAATAGCTGCTCATGGTTTGACTGGAACAATGTTCAACTTTAAGCCCGCACTTCGATAAATTCCTGATGGGTTGGAATGGTCATAAGTCTAGAACCCACTCCTGATCTTCGTCCTTATTAAATTTGCTACCTCATGGGTTTCTTTTAGTCGGAAGGTTACATTTCCTTAGCGTTGCACAGTCAAATTTGTAGCACAAACTTTTTTCTAAATTTAAAGCAGGGTTTCGAGTTCGCTTGACCGCTTCTAAAAAGTTCTTCGAGTGGATCCTTTCAGACGCAGTCAAGCATACCTCAATTTTTGGCTTGCATTTTTAGTCCAACCTTTTCTGCAAACTTTATTCAGGTAGCTCTGGAATCTGGAAAGTCGTACTCATGGTGCTCATGTGGTTTGAGTAAAGTGCAGGTCAGTGAGTTCTTTTGGATTCTCGTTTTCCTTTTTTTTCTTCTGTGTTGGTTTTCTTGAAGAATATGATTTCTTATTGTTCTGGTTGCATTTCCTACCTTGAAAGTGATATCATTNGTCCAACCTTTTCTGCAAACTTTATTCAGGTAGCTCTGGAATCTGGAAAGTCGTACTCATGGTGCTCATGTGGTTTGAGTAAAGTGCAGGTCAGTGAGTTCTTTTGGATTCTCGTTTTCATTTTTTTTTCTTCTGTGTTGGTTTTCTTGAAGAATATGATTTCCTATTGTTCTGGTTGCATTTCCTGCCTTGAAAGTGATATCATTCGTACTGCTTATAATCGCGATACTGCTATGGTAGACGCTATGGGCTTAATGGGAATCCAGGATCCATTTTAGTGTATCCATCCGTGATCATTAGTATTAGGTAATGGCTTTACTAAATAGATTATTAGATTAGATTATAGATTCTCGATCATGCCATCTGTTAATACTCAAGGTTATCATGACACATGATGCATACACTGCACTTTGAATGCAATACATTTATTATACTTCAAACCAGTCCAAACTAGCCTCTTCTACGGTTCAAGAAAACTTTCTGCATTTACTCCGTGAAGCTTGCATATACTTCCCTTTCAGTTTCAAGGGGTGTGGTGCTGTAGGATCAAAACTGTCGCTTCGCGGCGAAGAAGACGCCGCGCACAACGGAATGCAGCAGAATGCAGTAGCAAGTATGAAATACAGGGACAAAAGAATCGTGCCAAAAATAATCGCATCTCGATTGAGCTGTATGAGGAATGCTAGAACTGCAATAACGAGGCGAACGATCCGCAGCTGCAGCGCGCGCGGCAGTCGATTACACAAAATCATCCCACGGCCCGTCTCTCCATTTCAAGTACCTCGTGCTGTAAATTCACGTAGAATTAGGCTTTCGGACCGGTATTTTTCATATCTCAAAGATCGCCATAAGGTAATTGTACTCAATCCGTTAAAGGCACTGTTCGCGATGATTCAATGGGCGGACACGTCATTGACATGCCCGCCCATTGAATTATCGCGAACAGTGCCTTTAACGTTGCAGTCAATTTCATATATACATTGCTACCAATTTCGAAGTTTTTCCATTCTGTTTTGTAGATTCTACAGCCGAATTTGTGTTATATAATCCTATACATCTTATAATCTATATACAGTCCGCTCTCTGTGTCTGTTCGTTTGTCAGTTTGAGTGTTTAAAAGTGAATTCACAACTCCTTTTTTCGTGGGCCTAGAACGTTCAAATTTGGTAGGAGTACAGACGGCAGTATGGGAACACTGATGTTAGGTGGCAGGAAGTGATAACAAGTGATAGGTACTGATAAGTAGCCTCAGAAGGCAAGAGTCGCACTACCCGTCACCTCCTTCTTGTTGATAGTGGAGCCTTGGCATTTTAGTTGGTAGTGTGGATTAAGAAGGGACTGTAGATGTTCCGTCGAGAGCCACTAGGTTTACGACGCCCTATTAACCTCTTGACGGCAATGCGCTTCTCGGCAAAGTGTGGTCTAGAGCCACGCCTTGCACCAAACGGTGGGTGCCATTGTCCTAGGAAAAATCTTCTCACTGTATTATTGAATTTGGCAATACCTTACGTATAATAGGAGGGTCAAAATCTTACTTCATCCACTATGTATAATTGGGTTCAGTGTTACGATTTCGAAGCAATGTAGGATAAAATTTTGGAAATAACGTGCGTAGTAAGAGTTCGTATAAGGTTCAAAACCCGTGCGGATCTATTGATTATTTGCTTCCGCAATGCTGAGACCGACCAAGCAGTCATATGATCTGAAATGAAGGCTTGCACTGTTTAGAATGCTTCCAGGACGTACACAAATCTTGCAGAAGAACACAGTTTTTTTCTTTAAAAAATCACCTATTGACTACATATCCTTCTATATAATATAATTCGCTAATCGGTGTGTTTGTGGGTGTGTCGGTGTGTGTGTCCGACCGGAAATTCATAACTCCTGACCCCGTGGACCTAGAGTGTTTAAACTTGGTAGGAAACCGGGGGTAGGATGGGTAATTTATGGTGGGTGGTAGGATCGGACTCGGCTCACAGGGGCGAGGCGTGCGCGATGGAACCATAACTCCTTTTTACGTGGGGCTAGAGCGTTAAAATTTGGTAGTTCACACTTTTGCATTGATCATAGGTATTCAGTGACAGGAACTGATCTAACTTGTAAGAGAAGATAAGGGAACTAACAGAAGCCACCCACCGATCAAAATCCTAAAGTCTTCGGTATTTACGATGTAAGTTTGACAGTTCAATATGTTTCCTTCGAAAAGATGGTATGCTAGAGTAAGGTGACAAAAGTGAGTGGTAAGTGCAGTGATAGGGACCCATTAGGGCAATGCGATAAGCAGATTAGAACTTTGTTCATTTCTAACTATTAGATTACGACGCTACCCATCAAGCTTTGTAACTCAAAGAAGGATCCTCTTTGTTCGATATTGCTTGCAACAAAACTTAAGCGGCCGCCAGTAATTTCGAATTCTTAACTAATGATATCTCCGTGAAGAAAAGGATCCATTTATGAAGACATCTGATAGTGGTGTTCTCATCGCTTGAAACTTTTATGAGTACCGCTTGAGGCTTTGGTTGTCTTACAGTTGAATTCGATGGGTATTCATATCTAAGAAAGAGATCAGAAGATCGACACCCCCAATCAAACCGATTTTCGCTGAATACCATCTGCACTGCCCTGGTAGACTGTGTCAAACTTCGTGTACAGGAAACTACTATTTGTTTCAATGAAGGGGTAGAGTTAGCCGATTACTACAATTTTGTCGAAGAAGGAGGGAGGCCCGCCGTTAGCCGGGCGAACCGACTGCTGTTTATAATAATTAAGCATTTATAAATAACCATTTGGTACGCACGCTAACGCGTACCACATGTCCACTACCACTTACCTACGACGGATGTGCGTACATTCGTGCGATTCGTGTCGCGTGCGGCAAAATTCATAGCGATTCTGACGACTTGGGCGCCTATTACTGGGACCCAAATTTGAAGTAGATTGGTAGGATTAGCTGACCATACTAATCTACACTGCTTCAAGTTTGTGCTCCAAAAGTAGGCCCCAGGGTCGTTCAAATGACCACGAATTTCGCAGCGCAATTTGCCGCGCGCAGCTCGAATCGCACGAATGAACCGTTCTCCACCTACGACTTGTTAGGGTACCAACATAAACAGTATCTTTGACTTCCAATTCATAACTGTTTCCTCACCGCGCTCACGCGACATTCACACTCTTCATCGTGCCTACGTGACTTTCGGAAGGACACAAAAACAGGCACACAAATTACCGCTTTATATACAGAGAGATTTATGTGGACCAAGTTCAATATAAATGCTATGGAGTTTGTTGGCAAGTATGAAAACATCGAATGAGTGTTAAATAAGCAAAGAAACAAAAAATCGTGGTGCTCCCCAACATTAGGCGCCATTTTCCTATGCGCCAATCATAGTGGCAACCGAAGGGTGCCATTGTCACCAAAGGTTTAACAGTGAAGGTTTTGAAGGTGGTGTGGGACGTGAAGGGATCTAAGGTGATTGGTGACAAGATTGATAACAAGCAATAGGGGCTTACAAAAAGCTAGTAGGCTGGAGTCATTAGATTTGTAAACCCCCTACGTGTTAACAGTGGAACTTTGTCGTTTCATTAGGTTATGTAGGATGTAACAAGGTCGTAGGTACTTTGTGACAGGAGCTAATAACAACTGATAACAGCTGCGCTGAGAGCGAGGGCCCCACACCTATTGAATCCTAACGCCTATGGTATTTACGACCTATCTTTGGCACTTTGATGTTTCATTTGATAAAAATGGCAAAAGTAGTGATAGGGACCGGCAAAGGCACTTCTTTGTAAGGAAAAAAAAAAGATGAAAATTCGGTTCATTTTTTGCTATTAGATTACGACTGCTACTCAGCATGGTTTCTGAGTCAATAGGGGATCAACGTTCCCCTTTGTCTCGATATTACTTGCTACAAAACTTATCCGACCGCCCGTAATCTGAGATTTTCAACTAATGATATCTCTGTAAAGAAAAGAAGGTCCATTAATAACGATATCTGATAATTTTGTTTTCATCAGGAACATATGTGAGCCGACCAAGGCTTTGCTGATCTATCAGTTAAACCTTTGATGAGTCATTATTTTTAAGAGGGTGAGCAATGGTTTGAGATTTCTTATCACAGGCATAAGCATAGGCACATATCGTATAACATTATAATGTTATTACTGAGTCCAATGTGGCTCTTAGAAATTATCATTTGTTCCGAATAAGAAGGAGTGGACTGCCAGCTTATTACATAAGAAGCGCGGGAGCTGGGCTTAGGCCGGGCGATCCGACCGTTATATAAACTCTTCAATTCAGCTGAACTCTACTTTACTTTTTTTGGAGGGGGTGGGGAATCACGCGTGACCCCATTAGAGCTCTTCGCGCACCTAGCATCGCTTCAGTACCTTTCCGTTGAAATGGACCAGATAAGATTTGTAGTAGTCCACGGCTGGCTTAGGACGAATTAAAGCAAATCTCTTTACTGTGGCAATGAAGCTCTTTTGTGATTAAGAATTGACTTCATAGGTCATCAATTTACTTGTCAAACGTTCAAAATAAGAATAATTTCAAAATTTCCGATTATAGAAAAGCAATCCGTCTGTAAACGTGCATTGTAGGTCACTTTTTTACTTATATTACTTATAAGTTCTTATTTCTCCCATTATGATGGTAGGCGTGATGTTATAACGCGTCTCGTCCGATGACCTCATTATATTGACGCGTGAATCGCACCACACCACTTTTTCATTCGTTTATTCAGAAACGTTAATAACTTTATTCAAAAAGTGAATGAACCGTGAACCCTCATCACCGAACTTGTAGGAGAAAAATTGTCATGACGGTGTTTACGATGCCATGCTTCTCAGAAACCTGAAAGAGCACATCGAGGAATTGACAAAAACATAGTGTTGAAGATGCCTATTCTTGGGGCAGAGCGGATCACTCGCTGACTGTTCGTGGCACAGCAAATGAAGGTGTCGTGATCCGAATCCCTGACGCTATTCGAACGGTTACTGTAGATCGCACATGGGAAATTTACGAAATCGAATGCATCATTTACTGATTAGATGAAAATTTGCACAGTAGAAAATCGACTGCAAAATCTACGAAATGAGGTGGTAAGAAATAAGAATTCAGTTGCAGTATGTACGAAATTGCAACATGTACCTCATATGTCTTTCGCTAGCACCATTCTTTTTCTGTTAAGTTCTGATTATATCACTAACACACCTTCGAAACTTGTCCAGCGAACTACCAAAGCCGAAGCTGCAAGCCGGTAAAAGGAACGGTTACGGTCATTTGCAACGTATCGACGTACATATATCTTTTTCCGTGTCTTTGCCAGGGGAATAATTTGAAGTGCTTCTTAATGTTCTGTTTATTAAATGTAGTCAAGACACAGATACAGCAATGCGCTCAGAACTATGCAAGGTGTAAACGCAGAGGCCTCATAGCTGAAAAGATCCAAGGTAGTTATTGCTCTGCCTCGGAAATAAAAATGCGACACATCAGCAGAAATGGGAGGATTGGTGTCATTATCGGTGTTTTCTTTACATCCCAGTTGTGTTAGTGTGTATTTCTTCCCTCGATGTAATAATCAGTGCTAAAATGCACTTTTTAATTTTCATCAAGGCCATTTTTAATCGCTTGAGCTGGTCTATGGAGGTCCTCAGGGATCCAGACCAGACGTTGTATGTTAGTTTCGTTATACTCTTCTTCTCCTCGACTGTGGGACGCGCCTCCCACTCGTCTTGGAGCTGCGTCTCGAAACCTTTGTTAAGCTAGACAGAAAAAAAGGCATCCACGAGTAGTATTCGCTGCTTGACGAATGACAAGCGAAGCGTAAGAAGGCAAAAGTGACTAACTCAGCATTAAATCGGAGTAGTAGCCATAAGTTGGTGATGCTAGTTCTCAGGTGCACAAGCAACTTGTTAAGAGATTTCGTGATTGTTCTGTTCCTATTTCTCCTACTTCTAGCGTTTTGTGTCACTGGGTTTTACCTTGATAATCTCATAGCTATCATCCGCGAATATTTGCTTTATTTATGTGTAACATAGTCAAATTCGAACAAATCATTGGACTGCAACTAGAGCTCACTCGGGAGCATTAGAGACTGTGCGCGTATCGCCATCATATGGACCAAGGATTTGCATCAAGCAAAACTAGTTGCTGTACACTATTCTGCTTCAAATCTGCACAGAATAGCTCCGAGTACATTTCTCTATTTCCAGCCATTTTGCGATGGTACTCACAGGAAGGATGGCCTCACAGATGTGCGTCCCGTTAAATTCCAGGTAATAGTTAACTGATAATAAACATGTCATTTGAGTTTAATGTAGCTGTTNCAAATCTGCACAGAATAGCTCCGAGTACATTTCTCTATTTCCAGCCATTTTGCGATGGTACTCACAGGAAGGATGGCCTAACAGATGTGCGTCCTGTTAAATTCCAGGTAATAGTTTACTGATAATAAACGTGTCATTTGAGTTTAATGTAGTCGTTGAAGGTTGAAAAAAGTGGCGAATATTATTTGTGCAACTGCAAACAAACAGCAACCCGTCCAATTTGTGACAGAGCCCACAAGGAGGTAATGTTATGAAAGAAATTTCCGAGCAGTTCACGTTAGGCAACGAAAACCTGTCAAAGCAGTGTTGCTACATGGACTTTATTCCACGCAGTGCTTCCGAATGAAATTTTACCAACCAGAATATGAATGCTCTGATATATCTGTGCTCCATTTGAGTTGCTTTTCCTCCAGGTAAGCGGTGCTCCAAAGGATCTCCATGCTACCCAATTCGTGATGTTTGGTGACAACTCGCCTGTGTACGATGGTGTTGCTCGTAAACTCGGTTATAAACCAAAGAACGAAGGTTTTCAGTAGAGGGTAGATATTTTCAGGTCTAGATCAATAAATATCTCAAATCTTTGTTTGTTTTCACATGAAGAACCGCCTTAAGTCTTTAGCGAGTTTAACTCAACTTACATATTTGCTAACATATACGTACATCGGGATTTCCTTTTTTTTTCTTAATGTTTACTCGGAGTATGCGTACATCGGGATTCCTTTTTTTCTTAATGTTTTCTTGGAGTACCTTTTTGCTTAGCTGAAGCTCCTAGTTTTCTGTTTGGGCTCTTCAGCTTCCCTAGAAGATGCTAGTGTTCTGCCCTTTTTGTGGATCAATGCTACAAATAGAGGAAGGTGATACATGTATGCAGTTCTCCTGTCCATCTTGTCCATATATCTGTCCAGTAACGAAAAAGGTAAGCAGTTTCTTCCATTTTCCGTTCGTGACAGTAACTGTTATTTATTCAGATTAGTAGTCGTATCTATCCTAAACTCAAAGATGTTGAAGAAGTTCTAGGAGGACCTTCTGTATGGGATAATGCACAGGTAAGGTTATCACGAATTTTGAAGCTCTTTTATACTTGAAATTTTGCCAACGAATTGTTGAAATTATTAGGTGTGTGCATTAATTTCCGCCGTGTTTTGCGTGCAAAAACATACTTATTTCAAAATTAAAACAAAATGTACATTCACCTATGTATTGCCCATCGTTAGCTACAACTTCCTGCCATCTTTCTGGTATTTTGTTGACTCCGCGTCTAAAAAAGTCTGCATCTTTTGAGACAGTCCAGTCATCCACCTATTTTCGCACTTCTTCGGCATTCCGGAAGCGTGTATCCGCCAAATTGACTTGCATGGACCGGAATAAGTGGTAATCAAAAAGAGCAAGATCCGGAGAGTATGCGGGATGACAAGCTGATCCCATCCAACAACTGCAATTTTTTAAGGACATTCTTCGCAACATGGGGTCTGGCATGTTTGTGGTGGAACAGCACCTCATGATATTTTCTTGCGATTAAGGTGAGCTTTTAGATGAGAGCATCCTACAAACCGTCAAGTTGGTGTTCGTAGCGGTCAGCACTAACAGTCCAGTCATCCACCTATTTTCGCACTTCTTCGGCATTCCGGAAGCGTGTATCCGCCAAATTGACTTGCATGGACCGGAATAAGTGGTAATCAAAAAGAGCAAGATCCGGAGAGTATGCGGGATGACAAGCTGATCCCATCCAACAACTGCAATTTTTTAAGGACATTCTTCGCAACATGGGGTCTGGCATGTTTGTGGTGGAACAGCACCTCATGATAATTTCTTGCGATTAAGGTGAGCTTTTAGGTGAGAGCATCCTACAAACTGCCAAGTTGGTGTTCGTAGCGGTCAGCACTAACAGTTTCATTCGGGCTTAGCAGCTCATAGTATACAACAGCCTTT